TTCCTTTGCAAGGTATTGTAAAGGCCTAAGATTTGCGGCCAGACGGGAAAAGTAGGTAGTAAGTAAGTAGTAAAGAAATACAGCAGTCTGTTGAATAAATACAGCTGCCATTCAAAAATATTGACGTCCCATTGAATATTCTAGTTTGCAAAATGCCAAGCAGATTTGCGTGATGCCAGAACTATGTGAAGGGACCGGGATCTTAATCGCACGACTGTATGGGTCTCGTCCAATCAGGGCAGCAATCGCCGCGCGCGGCGAGGCGAAACATGGCTGCCGTGACCTCTCGTGGAGTCCTAACCTACACCCGCTGACTGAACTTGAGCGGGTATGGTGTACCAAAACGCTCGAGTACAAATCCTATAAAGTCCAGGATCAAAGTGAATTTTGTGCAGGATCTCGAGAGCGTTTATCAGAAAAAGGCCAATCTGAAAGAATTACGTAATACCACTCTCTGGAACGACCTCCAGTCTGACCGACATCTCGTGATCACTGAGGATCAGATGGAAGCGTCAGCTCAAAAAAGTGATCTGACGGCTCAGCTGACAATTTCCTTGTGGTTTGTCTGTGAGGGCAAAATTACAGCAATAAGCCTGAGGAACTAATATCCGTTTCTTTCCCCAATTTTCCACGAGTTATGCGGAACTTTATCAACGAAGTCGTAATCGTTGTGCCATTTCAGCGTTTTCGACTTTTGAAAACCGTAGAAATACAGTTTTACAATCGGGGTCTTCAGTTATAAATCCCAGAGATATCTGAAGACTTTCGATTGCTGCTTTCACCGGAGATACCTAAACGTTCTGATGTTGCATCATCGATCTCGATCTTTCGCTTTCATCTTTCGCCTTGATCAGTCGGCTTCTCTCACCACGGATTCTCGGATCACTGTGCGTCTCCCTTTTGTTTCTAATAATTCTAACCGAAATTGGGCCACCGCCTCCCATTGTTTCATTTCACTGAGTTGATCGCCGACCGACCCCTTTCGCTATCATTCCGATTATATTATCAGGCTATTCACCTAGCGTTCCAGTACTCAGTTCCTCTAGTCTTTCCTGGCACCTTAACTGCTAACATTTCTTAAATTTTCCTTCTCCAGAGATGCTACTCTTGGCCCTGCTGCTGACGGCTATACCGTTGTCGAGAGCGGCCAGCTGCGGTGGATCTGCAATACCATTCAGATTCGAGGTTGTTTCCAAACTTGTAATGGAGTGGGCACCGTGACTTTCCTTTAAAAATCATGTTGATCTTATCAGGTGCTGCCGTCTGGAAATCCTGTGTTGGGTTGCGCGTCACCTTCATGTTTCGGAGGTGGCCCTGGTGGATCTCAAGGTCTCAGTGATACTAACTTCCAGGTACCTTTTTACACTACTTTCTGTGAAAGAGTGCAATGTCGCATCCTAGTGGTCAGTGATAGCTGGTCCTTTTTCAAAGCCAAAAATGAC